CAACAACAACAACAACAACAACAACAACAACAACAACAACAACAACAACAACAACAACAACAACAACAACAACAACAACAACAACAACAACTTAAACAACTTAAACAACTTAAACAACAACACCAACAACAACACCACCAAGCACGCACACAAACATGAACAAGAATGAACAGCAGCGAATCACCTTGGCGGCGTTGATGATCTCGTCGGCAAGGCACTCGGCGATGCTCTTGATGTTTCTGAAGGCGGCGTTACGGGCGCCGGTGCAGATGAGCCACACGGCCTGGTTGACGCGGCGGAGAGGAGACACATCGCAAGCCTGACGGCGGACGGTACCGGCGCGGCCAATACGGGTGGAGTCCTCACGGGCACCAGAGTTGGCAACGGCGTTGACGAGGACCTGGACGGGGTTCTGCACAAGCAACAAGACAGAGGACACAAAAGAGTGGAATGAGGGGTGAGGATGAGAAAGAGTTGAAAGCACGTGCGTACAAATATGTGTGTGAGAGAGTGCGTGTGTGCGTGCTGGAGGGTCAGGTGCGCTCTCGCTTGCCATAAGGAGACCGCCAACCACAATTCCCATACTACCACGTCTGCCACGCCACCCTGTCTCTCCTATCCTCCCCAAAAAAAGCTCTCAAGGGCAGTGAGCTGCCTCCGTACCTCGCCGGTGGTGAGGTGGATGATCTCGAAGGTGTGGCGGAGGATGCGGGTGGTCATGAGCTTCTTGCCGTTGTTGCGGCCGTGCATCATCATGGAGTTGACGACGCGCTCCACAATGGGGCACTATCACAGCCAAACAAACCAAAGGAAAGAAGCAAGGGGTGGTGTAAGTGACAACAATGGGTGGTGTAGGTGACAACAAAGGCAAATACGTATACACCCATCTCTCCCAATCGGCGTCAACGGAAGGCGTGGAACAGGGCCAGCGTGTGCAGCAAAGGCACAGCCCATCCGGGAGCAAACACTGCAGTAACACAATTTATGGCACCACAAAACAACACACCTGGGCCTTGCGGAAGCGGCGCTTGGCATAGCGGCCAGCGGTGTGGGGCACAAAGCGGGCAGCCTTGTCCTTTGTGGCAATGTAATCCTGTTACAACAACAACAACAAAGTAACGAGGCATAACAAAAGAAGAACAGAAGACAGGGAGCGAGGGTGAGGGTGAGTGTCTTGTCAACGTATCGTGGTTGGGAATGGGAAAGAAAAACGAGGGAGGGAACAGACACCGAAATGACGAGTGCTGATGCAGAGGCAGGAACGCTGCTGTGCAGGCTGCACCCTAATCATCCTCTTCCATCGACCACATGAAACAGTTGTGTTGCGTGTGCCACGTGCTGATGCTGCGTGGTGGTGTTGGTGCTGCTTGGACGGCTGTCACCGCAAACCACAACAATGGCTGCGTGGCAACCTTCCTTGCCCTGCTCACTGCTGACGCAGCTGCAGCAGTTCATCGGCACGACCCCCGTGTGCACACACGCGCGCACGCACCATCATCATCACCACCACCACCACCACCACCACGTGCCTCCCTTGTTCCCATTTGCGGTGCACGAAACAAGCACGCGTGCCAGTGCAAGTGAGGACGACGCACCTCAAGGCTGAGGTCGTCGACCTTCACGTCGTCGAGAGACCACTTGTTGAACATCTTGATCTCAACCTGCTCCATCTCGGTATCGACAGGGACCATCTCCGTCTCCTCGACGTCGACCTCGCCGGTGAACTCCTCAACCTGGACGTCAGCCATGATGCTGTTCTCGTGCGCGTTGTATCCGAGAGAGGGTTGGTGGTGCTGGTGCTGTGCGGAAGGGGGAAAAAGGCACTCTGCACACGCGTACTTTGACTGGAGGTACCAGGTACTCGCCCACAAGCCCCCCGCAACAACAAAATTAACAAAAAATTATTATGCCCGTCATTTGCAAATTGTGGTACTCAAGGCTGTGCAACTTTGCAAATTGCATGCTGAGGAGGACAAGGACAAAACGACACAAAGGCAAAAGCGTTGTCGTTGTGGTGCGCGCGCTGCTGTGGTTTGGGATTGACAAGAAGGCAGCGTCGAGAAGGAAGCGAAAGGCAGGGAAGGTGTGTCAAGAACACGAGGTGGAAAGGCGGACGGTGTGTCAAGAACACGAGGTGCAAGGTGTGTCAAGAGCAAGAGGTGGAAGGTGTGTCTGGAGAAAGAAGAAGGACGACACAGCAAACGAGCGAGGCAGCAAGCAAGCCAGCAAGCAAGTGAACATCGAGAACGGCGCGATGGTGGATGAGGACACGAGGCATTGGCTTCGACGCGGGGTGCTTGAGAAGAGGGCACAGGGCAAGAGCGCCATCACGCACTTTACCTTCCGCAAGCGCACGTTTGTGCTCACCCCAAGCAGCCTCAACTACTACAAGGGCGTCGCCACGGTGTGTATTCGTCTGTGTGTGTAAGTGTGTGTGTGTGTGTCTGTGTGTGTGTCTGTGTTTGCTGCTGGCGGCTTGGCTGCCTGCCACTATGCTTGCCATCGTGCCCACCATCCTATCTGGCATCGCGCTTGTCGCTTCGCATCCCTCTCTCCCTCCCTTCATCATGAGATTGCTCACTTGCAAAGTGACTGCCTGTGTTTGATCCGGGGATTAGGAGGACTTGAAACTCAGAGGATCAATCCCACTGCAGTCCATTCGGTCATGTGAACGATGCGATGGCAGTGTTTGGGACAGACCTTCCCTCATCCAGGTGTGTGTGTGGGGGTGTGTGTGGGTGGGTGGGTGTGTGGGTGGGTGGTCGTGTGTGTCTGTGTGTGTCTGTGTGTGTCTGTGTGTGTCTGTGTGTGTCTGTGTGTGTTTGTGTGGGTGGGTGGCTGGGTGTGTCTGTGTCTATGTGGTCGTGTACGAGGCAGTAGCTCGCGATCGAACAGAGTACTTGCGCTCACAGCTCACGCGCGCGTATCGACTGACATTCAGGTTGTACACGATGAGGCGACCCTGTACATTTCCGCTGCCAACAGTGCCCAGCTAGCAGATTGGTGAGCCCATCAAAATACCATTTCGCTGCGCTCCCCATGTGCCTGGACCAACACCATTAGTTTGCTACATCTCACACCACTCAACCTGCATTTCTCCCCACTCTCTCACTCTCCCACACTCACTCACTCACACTCACACTATCACACTCTCTCACGCACGCGCACGAAGGATCGAGGATATTCGAAGAGGTGCATACATTCTACTGTCCATATGCAGTGCTGTCATGCACGGCTGCCCCCACATAGCACACCAACCAACATGCACTGATGGAAGAACACCCACGCTAACACACTCAGCATCCAACATTCTCACCACCAAACACCTGCCCACACGCATACACACACACACATGCGTGCAGCGTGCATGCTGCCCCAGAATCGCTCCTCAAAGCACAAGCTGTATCACCCGGGCGTGTTCTTCCGCGGGAAGTGGACGTGCTGCAACCTTGCATCGGCGAGCGGCGGCTGTAAGGTGCGAGCAAGTGAGGGGGAAGGGAAGGCGGAGGGCGTCAAGGAAGGCAGATGGAATGCGGCTGCTGCTGCACCGGCTCACATATCTTTTCGTGTGTGTGTGTGTGTGTGTGTGTGTGTGTGTGTGTGTGTGTGCAGGCTGCCTTCCGCTATTCTGAGAAGAATCTCGAGCCACAACCCGTCGCAAGCCAGCTCGCAGGTGGTGCATCAAACTTGTGGATGTTGGCTTGCGAAGCGCGTATGTATGTATGTGTGTGTGTGTGTGTGTGTACACTCACTCACCCGCTCGCTCACACTCACCATCACACTCACCCACACTCACCCACACTCACTCACACTCACTCACACTCACACTCGCACTGGCACTTGCAACCACAACACCACCGCCACCACCACCACCACCAGACACGGCGCCTGTTCGCTTCCTCAACGATGACGACTTTGCTGCGGAGGAGGACGAGGAAGATCCGGACATTGCTGCAAACCGCCGCCTGGAGCAGCTGGCCCTGCGGACCGAAAGTCCGGAATCTGTCGCTTACGCAAGAATTGACGAGCGCGCGCGTGCGATTGAGAGCGACGGTGACACGAGCGAGGACGACAACGATGATGGCACACTCGTGCAGGACTACGGCCGCCCCCTCATGACAACATCAGCGTCAACAGCAGCCAGCACGACAGCAACAACAGTTGCTGCATTAGAGCATGAATATGCAGAGGCAGGTGACCCTGACGAGGAAGAGGGGCACTACTACTCGCAGGCGCTGGACACATCGCTCGATACAAGCAGCCCGCACCGCGGTGGCGGCAGGCGTGACGGCACAGTGGCGCATCAAGGTCCAGGAACGGCCACGGGGGCGGGGCAGGTGGTGAGTCGAGGCACAACGCGGCGAGGACAGCGACCGAAGACGTCGATCCAGCTGCAACTCGACCACGACCTGCAGCACGAGCTGGAGGACCCGCACGCCCTCTACTCCATCCCGCACTCCCAGGTACTGACGACGAGGGGTTGTGGTGAAGGTGGCGGTGGTGGTCAGAGTCTGGTTGTCGGAATGCGGTGCATGCGTACCCAGCTGGCTTGCGGTTTCGTTCGATTCGTTGGTGTTCTCATCTCCCATACCCGCCCCCATGTGCATATGTGTGTGTGCGTGTGTTTGGGCTTGCAGACACGAGTGACTGCTGCTGAGATTGAGGAGAAGAGGCGCCAGCGCGTCAGTGCACCGCCAGATGTGCTCTCGTCACCACTGCCCCCAATTCCGCCGTCATCCTCATCCCCACCATCGTCTGACCAGCCCGTCTACTCTGCACTCAACATGGTCTGCAACGTGGTTGGCTGTGTCTGTCTGTCTGTTTGTCTGTCTGTCTGTATGTATGTATGTATGTATGTATGTATGTATGTATGTATGTATTCTTCGGCTGTACCTCAAACTTGCACGATCTTCCTTGCTCCCTCCGTACCTCACCATCCCATCCCCCCCCCCCTCATGACTGTGAACTGGCTTGTGGTGATTGCGATTATGTGCAGACGTCGGTGCAATCTACTCCTCCCCGCTCCTCCGAGCACGTCTACTCCCGCCTCGCATCAGACCGTGCCAGCTGACACCTTCGCCAACACATGCACACACCCAACACACGCCAACACACCCAACATACACCCAATCACATTTCTTGACGTTTGTTGAACGTGTGTACTACTACTCTGCGACGGCCACAAACCAGCCCACCAGTGCCGCCACCACCGCCACCACGATCCCAGCCACCACCACCACCATCGACCCGCCACTGCCACCGCTGTGCTCAGCAACATCGCGCTGGCGTGCATGGCCCGCCTTGCTCGCATCCGCTGACGCTGCCGCCTGTGATGATGTTGTCTGCGATGCTGATGTTGACGTTGATGTTGATGTTGACGCTGATGCTGAAGCTGAAGCTGATGCTGGTTGTGCTGCGTGTTGCTCGAGGGCCTGCGGTGCGTGTGTGGAGTCCACAGCACCAATCACGTTCGACAACATTGAACGCATGTCCTGTATGTGCGTGCGTTTGTGTGTGAATGTATGTGTGTGTGCGTGTGTGTGGTATGTGTTTGGAGTGAGTCTTTGGTGCGCGTACGTGGTGTGTGTGTGTGTGTGTGTGTGTGTGTGTGTGTGTGCTTCCTTTGTGTGTTTTTGACTAATTGATTCGATGTAAGCACTTGTAAGTAAAGAGATCAAAACAAATATGTGCATGTATGCATGTGTGAGCATGTATTGGTGAATGTGAGTGTGTGGGTGTGGGTGTGGGTGTGTGGGTGTGGGTGTGAGTGTGCGTGTGTGTGTGAGAGTGAGAGAGAGCAGCACCTGCTGTGACTCGTCGGCGAATGCGTGCCACGTGAACACAACACCGTCAACATCAAACGCCACGCGGGCCGGGAGTGGAATCGACTGCACAGCGTCAGCACCACCATCATCATCTGCGTCAAGACGTGATGGTGGATGCGCACACACAAGCGGGTAAACGTGCGCACACACAAGCGGGTAAACGTGAGTGGTGAACGCAAGTGGTTGAGGTGGAGTGCGTGTGTGTGCGTGACCACAAAGCCACATGCACATCGACGCACCAACACATATAAACATCCATACAACATCCACACACGTTCACATACACACACACGCGCGCGCCATGCTGATGCGGACCGTTGAGTATGTCCTCGATGGTGTCGATTCGGGCTGCGAGCGACTGGGCAATATCGTGGCGCAGCGCCATCGCAACAGCGCCACTGCTGCACTTGGGCGGGGCGTACGCTGAGGACATGGATGGTGGGCAAGGATTGGGTTGGTTGGTTGGTTGGTTGGTTGGTTGGTTGGTTGGTTGGTTGGTTGGTTGGTTGGTTGGTTGGTTGGTTGGTTGGTTGGTTGGCAAAAAGGCCAAAAAGGCCATTGCACAACAAAATCATGCACGTTCAGACTTACATGCAACCACATGCACACCCATACACACACACACGCCCACACAGCGTCACGGCATGCGTACATGAGATTCCTACCGAGGACAGCGAGAGTGCCGGTGATGTGTGCGAGGTGCGTGGTTGCGCTGCTCTTGGGCGCCCGCTTGGCCGTGAGATCATCGCTGCACAGCGAGTGTGCAGTGGCCTTTGGAGATGGGAAGGACGTGACATGTGATGCAATGCAGTGTCGCATTAATGTGTGTGTGTGTGTGTGTGTGTTGATGAGTGCAGAAGAGCAGACGCTGGCACACGCACACAGCTCTCGGTTACAACCGTACAGATACAGCACAACTCGTCCTGACAATAGGAGAGAAACATACACAAGAGCATTCACTCACACAACTGCACACACACCCACACACAACTGCACACACAATCACTCAATCACAACATCACAACATCACATTCAAACACGATGTACAGTTGCATTCCAACTGACCGTGACTGCGTTGGTGAGCGCTGGTGGCCCCGTGGTGGTCGGCAGTGGGGCGGTGTCAGTGTCGGATATGAGCCGACCATTGATGGTGAACAAGCTCGATTGCACGCGCTGGGGCGAGAGGTAAGGCAAAGAGGGGAGGGTGGAAGAGGATGAGGAGGGTTTGATGGTGAAGGCGTAGGCGTTGAGGTACATGCCAGCGAGCGCCCATGCACCACATTCACACATGCACCACACCTTGTGTCACCTGCACATCACCAACACACACACACACACACACACACACACACACACACGCACACACATACACACAAACACATACATACACACACATACACACACACACACACCTGTGCCTGTTTTGCGACGGCGGTGCGAAGCGAAGACATGAAGCCTTTCTTCGACCGCTTGAGCGGAAAGTGGAGGTCGAGCTGGAACGATGACCGGATCAGCGCCCACTTGGGCAACGTATTCTGCACCTTCCACTTCAGCTTCTACAGCAGGCAAGGGAGCAGAGATGGTGCTGTTAGTTGATGGATGCCCACATCTGCTGAAGGAAGCAGTGTGTACATGTGTGTGTGTGTAGATGTGCACAGCACACGCTGCACGCACACACGCACACACGCACGCTGCACGCACACACGCACACACGCACGCTCACACATGCACACACAGATGCACACACGCAAACGCACACACACGCAAACACGCGCGCACACGCACACATACACACACACACACACAGATGCACACACTGCACATGCACACGTCAGACCACGCACACCTCGCCTGTCGCCGTGCGCCAGCACTCGACCTCCACCGTGTCGGCGGGGATGAACAGCGCAACGTCCACGTTTGTCATGGACTTGAGCTTGTCCACCAACAGAGCGCGCGGCTGTCCAAACGCATATGCACCGACGATGCTCAAGCCGCCTGGCAAGCACTTGCTCACTGCAACGATCAACAAAGCAAGGGCAAGTGAGCTCGACATGCACACACACACACTCCCCAAGCGAGACAAGGGCGAGAAGCCTCGCTTTCCCAATGTGACACGTGCAGGGCACTAGCACCTAAAACCAAACCATGCACGCGCATGCACGCACCTTGATGGTGATGCTCCTGAACCCACTCCTCATCTGTTGCGTCCAGGTGCTGCCGAATGGCGTCCTCGTCTGCCAGCGTCCACACTGGTCATGCACACGCGCACAACATAGAGACAGGGTCGGTCAACGTTCACAGGAGCAAGGAAGGTGACACCAACTACATATCACACAAGTGCAAACACGCACACGCACATGCACATTCACACGCACATGCACATGCACATTCACACACGCACACATGCACCCACCATCGTCGCCGCCGTCGTCGTCGTCGTCGTCGTCGTCGTTGTCTTCTGTGTTCTCCATGGGCGTTGGTGCAAGTCTCAGCACATATGTTCGGTTCCCAACAGTGGCGCCAACCAACAGACCAATCTACGAATGCGCATGAGTGCGTGTGTGTATGTGTGTGTGCGTGTGAGATGGATGGAAGGAATCAACAAACTGCACACGTGGCTTGCCCCCTTTCCCCACACCGTGACTCACCTGCCACTTGCAGGAGCTCTTGAGCGTAGCAAGAGCCGGCGAAACGCACGACTCTTCGCCAATCACAACAGCATCGCCCTGCTGCTGCTGCTGCTGCTGCTGGAAGCGTGCGTGGCCAAACTTGGTGGACGTATCCACAAACTTGAGCTGCACGCTGTCACCCTTGCTGTGCTTGCTTTGCTTCTTGCTCTGCTTCTTGCTGCTGCCACCAGCCATGATCAGCGATGAGGATTGTAGAGGATTTGTGGAAAATACGGCAACTATTCAGCAATCGTGGAGGACAACGCAAACACAACCAACAAGAAGCACGGCAACAAGCAAGCAAGCAAGCAAGTCGCATCGCACCGTCCACTCATCCGCCTCGCTGGCTGTCGGGGAAAACATGGGTTGTCCTGTGATGGGCTCGAGCCCAAAGTCAAAGGAGCTTGGAGATGCACTGAAGAAATTTGCGGCGCTGCTGCCACAATGCGAGGTGCGTGAGAGTTACAACTGCTGGCGGGAGGATCCACTGTTCACGGGTCACATTGTGAGAGGTGACGGCAGTGGTACACGCGCACTCGAGCCTGCGCTTGCACTCCACTGACATTGCGTGTGTGCGTGCACTCCACTGACATTGCGTGTGTGCACTCCACTGACACTGCTTAACATTCTTTGGTTGGTTTGTGCTGTGAAGGACGAGGAGGTGCAGCTGCACACCTGCAGAAATCGCGTGGCCAGTGCCAGTTCGTTCACACAGAAGCTGTGGGGCGTAAGTTTGTTCTGTTGTTGATCTGTTGTGGTTCTGTTGTTGATCTGTTGTGGTTCTGTTGTTGATCTGTTGTTGATCTGTTGTGGTTCTGTTGTTGATCTGTTGTTGTCGCGGCATTGTTCATTGCTTTTCGTCCTCCAATCGACATCGGCATCTTTTGGTGCTTCTCATACGCTATAACGTGGCTGTGCTTGTTCGCAAGTTTGGAATTGGTCGCGGTCACTGTGCGGAGGAGGCATCGCGCTTCTCAGACTGTGCAGCAAAGAAGGTGAGCGCTTGGAAGATGTGCAAAGGAGAGCAGAGGTGTTGACATGTCATGTCAACAGCTTTGTCATTCATTGCACGACAACAGACGCGTTGCCTTGTACACGTTTACCGACACACGACCACTCGCTGACCCCCTTCATGCTTACCCTGCCCCACGCACCACCTTGCGCATAATGCAGGAGGCTGTGAGCGTGCATATCACAAAAGCGTGCGCTGGCGGCGATCACCGCGGAATTGCTGTTGCCTATGACAAGTGTCTGGCGGCAAACGAGAACAATGCCACGGCCTGTGCTCCCGTGTTGCAAGGCTTCTTGGACTGCGCACGCCAAGAAGCACAACGGTACCAGAAGCGAGTGAACGTCACGGCAGCAGCAACCAAATCCCAATAGACTCCAGGATAAGGCAATTTACGACCCTGTGTCTGTGTGTTTGTGTGCGTGCGTGTGCGTGTGTGTGTTTGTGTGTTTGTCTGTGTTTGTCTGTGTGCAACTTGGACTTGCGTGCAGCGCAAGATGCTTTTCTCTTTATTCGCTTTCTGTGTGCGTGTCTACAAGCAAAGAAATGGGCATGGGTGTAACAGAAGAAACAAACCAGAAGCAAGCAAGCAAACAACCCAGCAACGCGTGCAACAGGCAAGGGCGCGGAAACAAGATCGTGACATGAACAGCAGGGACAAACACCCACATGAGTTGTTGCATGCAAACAAGAAGCAAACAACGACCAGTGATGAAGACAAAGATGGAACACACGACGAGTGTGAGTGAAGCAATCAATCGATCAAACAAAAAGCGCATGACATGGTGGTGCAAAAAGCAAACCACAAACGCAAACAAACATACACATGCGATGTGGGCCAGCTCATTCGCACGTGCGTGCAGCACGAAGAATGGCGGAGAGGGTGGACGTGTTTTCGCCACCAAGGACGGCCCGCATGTGTCCCTTCACACGCATGTGATCCACGCTTCCAGACACAACCTGAACCACATGTCGTTGAGTGTGCGTGTGTGTGTATGTGTATGTGCATGTGTGTGAGTAAATCAGCAAGTGAATGAGGGTGTGTACCATTGAGCAATGACATGTGCCCAAGACAGAAAGGAACCCTAACAGGAGTTATGCTCTCACCTCGACGGCAATGTCTGTGTGCTCGTCCTCAAACAAATGATCAAGCGTGGTGGTGACTGTTGTGCTCAGCTCCACGCGCTTGCTGAAACTGTTACATGATAACACGAACAAGCGAGGAGAGAAAGGGATAGCGTTAGCTCATGGGCGCACGGTTAGCATGGTGTGCGTTGTGTACGTGCACACACACGCACACACGCACACACACGCACACGCACCACCACCACTGCCACCATCACTCACCACATGCTGGGCAGCGTGATTTGGATCTTGTCTGCGTCAACAGACGTGTGGATGTCAGCGAACACGCTAGCACCCGCGAGTTCAACGCACAGCTGCGCGCATTTGGCGACACGCAACGAGATGTGATCGAGTGTCTGCGCAACAGACAAGCCGTCAGCTGTGAAGGCGGCAGGAGCGAAGAAGGTGCCAAGCATCTGCGACAGGTGGGGGGACTGCAAGTGTTTGAAAAGGCGAATCCAGGCACACAACACAACATCATGTTGTGAGTGTAAGCGCTGACAGATTGGTGGGCAAACAATTTTGATACGCACAACCCATCACGCAACAACGCATGTGCACGCGACGTAATCACACACACGAACACGACGCAATATGTGCACACTGCAGATGTACCCCAACCGCAACACCCTCGTTGCTCATGCACGTTTGCAAGATCGCTACAAACCGTCCACCACCACCGACTCACATTGGGGCATGTCCACGAGACAGCGCAGTGTGTCACGTGTGCGCGTGACGACATGCGGTCGCGACTGCTGCTGAGCGTCAGCTCGGCCGTCACAGAGGCGTCGCGTGTCATCAGCATGGCAGCACGCGTGCACAGACCAGGCATGTCTGCAGACACAGTTAGCTGTCCGCCCTTGTAGAAGCTGAGCAGCTCCCACTGGCAGAGCGACGCCACGTCGCTGTACAGCTGCGCGGCTGCGTCCACCTGCTGCTCACTCACGGCGTCGGCAGCAGCCTTCTTCTGCTCCTCGAGCGTTGTGCATGCATCCTGCACCTGCTGCAGCTGCACTTCCAACGACAGCAGTGTGTCTCGCTCCGTGTTTAGGCTGTCCGTCAACACCTTCAGCTCTGCCGCGAGGGATGCGTGCTCCTCTTGCAACGCGCCGTGCTGCTGTGTGCGTTGCAGTTGCTCGTCCACGGCAGATTCGCTCAGCAGCTGACTGTCGAGCTGCGCTTCCTCATCTGGAGGAAACGGTACGTGATTGTGGCAGTCGTGGGGAGTGGTGAGATGGGATGGGATTGGGAGAGTTAACATGCAAGCAGTTTAAACAAGACAAGAAGCGTTCAGCCCATGCAGAACGTGACAACTGATACTGCAACGCCCGCCACATGCTGGGTTCCACAGCGACGCCGACAGCTTAAGGTTCATTTCGAGTCATATTCACAACACACCTTCAAGCGCGCTCAGCGCTGCCTGAAGCTTGTCTGTCTTTCCCTGCAGTTTCGCGAGAGCCATGTCATAGAACTGCGCATCTTTGTCGAGCGCAGTCTTCTCCGTCTGTGCGGTGTATGTGTGTGTGTGTGTATGTGTATGTGTATGTGCATGTGGAGGTGTGTGTGGAGGTGTTTGTAAGTGTGTGTGTGTGTGTGTGTGGAGGTGTGCGTGTGTTTGCATGCGTGTGTGAAGGGAAAAAGACCCGCTTAAACGCACGGTCGATAGCACGCATGGTACACACACATGTGCGCATGCTTCAACACATGTGCATGCATGCAATCGGAAGCAAGTATGCATCAGTGCGTGGCACACCTGCAGGGATTCGTGAATGGCCGTCTCCAACTTGTGTCGCCAAACATGCCAGGCATGCTTTGCTTCCTGGCGGCACACCTCCTTCATGGCCGCCATGTCCTCTTGCAGCAGCGCAAGCTCGTGGTCCTTGAGCCTGCACAAAAGTGGAAAAGCAGGTGTGATTTGTTCGCAGGTTCAAGTGAATACAATTGTAAGCACAAGCAGATAACCATGAACAACACAAACGCGTCACTTGCGTGCACGTGTACACAAGCACGGAAGGACACAGCAACAATCAACTGTCGTTATGAAGACACACATGCGCAGGCGCAGGCGCACACGCAAGAGCTTTCATCGCAACGTACTCGAGCGAGGTGACGGCGTTGACAAGCGAGGTGTTCTGGTTGACGGCAGCGTCAATCTTCCCGCCAGCAACACGCTTCATCTCATGCGTGACTTTGGTCAACTCCTCACAGCTCCAGCGCACCTGCGACAGCTGCGGCAGAAACGTTGTGCCGTGCACAGCGAGCGTTCGCTCATCGATCGGCGCCGGTGCAAGCGCAGGAGCACCGAGCATCGTGGTGCGGCGACGCGAAGAGAGGTTGTCCAGGAAGTTGATCTGTCGACAATGAAAGAGGAGGAGGGAGGACGATTATGGATGGCAAGAGGTCAGACGCGCCATGGTAGCGTGGTTTGGTGGTGCAAAAGCTCGACACCCTCACAATACTCTCATGTGCAAACTGGTTCATATCCAAACAGTTCCAAGCATTGTTGCGTGCGCATGCTCGCAGGTACAGGCACATGCGCAAGTGAACCAGTACCAAGCCCACCTGGATCTCCTGAAGAAAGCGAGCAAAGAGTGGGCCATGCTGCGCGGGCTGCACTGGTGGAAGCGATGATGCAGCAGCAGATGACGAACGACGCGTCTTGACACCACTGCGCTTGCGTGCACTTGACATGCGCGAGCTACGACGGTGGACAGACGAAGTCAAGCGTGCCACTGGTTGTGTTGCCGTTGCAGCCGCTGGTGTTGAAGGCGCTTCAGCTGGTGACATTTGTGCAGGCATCGGCGCGGCGTCTTGTGCTGCTGCAGTGGTCGTGCTTTCGCCTTTCATGTGGGCCTCATCGCCCTGTGGCTTTTCCACAGTTCCCTGCTCCGCTGTCGCAGTCACTTGAGCAACAGCTTCAGCTTCCTTCTCAACAGTGGCGGTGGCAGCCGGTGAAGTGGATGTGGGTGTCGCAACATCATCAACCGCTGTTGTTGTTGCTGGTGTGGAAGGTGCGTGCGCTGGACTGCAAGTGTTGTTGGTTGCACCACTGCCTGGCATCAGGTCACCGGGACGCGTGATTGTAATCTCATCAGAAAAGTCGACAGTTTCGTTCTGGATATCGCCCCCAAACCCGCTGCTCTTGCCAGCCAGGACCGCAGCGAACGTGCCTGTGCTGCCGCCAGTCAAGGTGGGACTTGCAGCCGGGACTGCCACTGCTGCTGTCACCGCTGCTGTCACTGCTGCTGTCGTTGTTGATCTGTTGCTCTTCGCCTTTGGCTCCAAAGTGACGGAAGCTGTGCTTGTCGTGAGTGGCGCCGGTGCTTCCGTTGTTGTCTGTGGTGCTGCTGCTGAGGGTTCAGGCGACGTGCTTGCCTTAACCTCGTCGCTGCTGCTGCTGCTGCTGAAGCCAGCGCGGTCATTGCCATCAACTGCCTCTTCAACACCGCCAAAGTTGTCGGTCTCCTCCATGTCCGTGGCAAAGGCAACAGACTTTCTCGAGGGTTTGAACGCCGCGCGGGGTTGCTGCAGCAGTTGAGCAGGTTGCTGCTGCTGTGACTGTGGCTGCATCTCTGCTTCTTCAGCGTCAACACCACCAATTGTGGTTGTCTCGTCCATATCGAAGGCAAGGGCGATGCTCTTGCGGCTGTCACGCTGTGCTTTCATCACGGCCTCTTGTTGTTGCTGGCGCACACTGTCGGTCTTTGCAGCAGAGTATTGCACTGTGCCAAAGTTGCCTGTCTCCTCCATATCATCCGCAAAGGCAATGCTCTTGCGTGGCGGCTTGAATTCGTTCTGGTGTGGCTGCTGCTGTGGCTGTTGCTGGCGCTGTGGCTGCTGCTGTTCTTCTTCAGCATCAACACCACCAATTGTGGTTGTCTCATCCAGGTCAAATGCAAAAGCAATGCTCTTGCGGCTTTCACGCTTTGCAACAAACTGCTGTTGCTGTTGCTGCTGTTGCTGTTGCTGGCCTGCCACCTCGACGCCACCAAAGTTGTCCGTCTCGTCCATATCGGCAGCAAAGGCAATAGACTTGCGCGGTTTCTTGCTCGGATTTGCGTCGTCGCTACAGAGCCCTGCATTGGCATCATCAGGAGATCCATCAACACCACCAATGGTGGTCGTCTCGTCCATATCAAAGGCAGCAGCGATGCTCTTGCGGCTTTCGCGCTTGGCAGCAAACTGTTGCTGTTGCTGCTGTGGGTTGCTGATGGTTTCCACGCCACCAAAGTTGTCCGTCTCATCCATGTCTGCAGCGAAGGCGATGGACTTGCGAGGCCGCTTGAAGGCGCCACGCTGTTGTGGCTGCTGTTGTTGCCGCTGCTGCTGTGCCTGATGTGCCGGCGCTTCTGCATCGACACCACCAATGGTGGTCGTCTCGTCCATGTCAAAGGCAAAGGCAATGCTTTTGCGGGGCTGCTTCTGCGTGTGTTTGCTTGCGCTTGATTCCAGCTGCTGCTGCCATTGTTGATGCTGCTGCTGTGTTGTCGGCACCGCGTCTGCTGCTTCAACACCGCCAAAGTTGCCTGTCTCATCCATATCTGTTGCAAACGCAATGCTCTTGCGCGGCGCCTTCTTGGCCTGCCGCTGCTGCTGCTGCTGCGCGTAGGCGTCTTGTTGCTCCAGACCGCCAATTGTGGTTGTCTCGTCCATATCGAAGGCAAAGGCAATGCTCTTGCGGCTGTCACGCTTTGCTGCTGTACTCTTCATGTGCCCGCCGGCTTCCACTTTTCCAAAGTTGCCTGTCTCCTCCATGTCATCTGCAAAGGCGATGCTCTTGCGTGGCGCCTTCTTGGCCTGATGCTGCTGCTGCTGCTGCTGCTGCTGTGACTGTGGCTGCATCTCTGCTTCTTCAGCGTCAACACCACCAATTGTGGTTGTCTCGTCCATATCGAAGGCAAAGGCGATGCTCTTGCGGCTGTCACGCTTCTGTTGACGTGGCTGCTGGTCCACCTCAACACCGCCAAAGTTGCCTGTCTCATCCATATCTGTTGCAAACGCAATGGACTTGCGCGGTGCCTTCTTTGTCTGCATGTGCAAGAGGGTGTGAACACGTGGTGGCGAGGGACAGCACGAGGATGTGTGAGTGGAATAGGCATGAACTCAAACATGTACGTGGCACGTTGTGTTGTTGTGATATGCCATTGTGTTTTGTGATGCATGTAAGTTGCGTGCATGCGCGTTTGCATCTGTGTGTGCTTGCTCGTGCTTGCATGTATGCGTGCAGATTGTGTGCCTGCGCGCACGATTGCAACCAACAACTTGCAGGCCAGCCGCCATTCACACCTGTGCATCGGCGGGGACAAGGCCGCCAACCAGGCCAGATTCATCCAGGTCCATACCACCACCAGCAATCGACTTGCGTGCTGCGGTAGTGCGGCGTTGGTGCACGGCTGGCTGCTTCTGCTCCTCCTGTGTGGTGTCGCTCTTTGCTTCCGTGAACATGGGATCAGCCCACGTGTTGCTGCTGCTCAGTCCAAAATCCACAAAGGGCCCACCAACCCCCGGCTCTGCGCTCGTGGACACAACAGACACGGGCGCTGCGTCCTCAGACGTGGAGGTGACGGCTGTGCTCCAGGCCTGCGCCTCTGTGTTGTACTCCCTGCACACCACAGCGAAGGTGAAGTGTGCGTGAGTCATGTTGTGTGTTCCTTGCCGTTGTGATGATGTGCAGGTGCACGACTGTGGTGGTACTTGCGCAAACGCACAACTGCACACGCACAACTGCACAGCTGTGCACACCTGATTTTGCGGAGCTGGTCGTCGGCTGCAAAGCTGACGCGGCGACCAAGCGACTTGCGTTGCCGCACCTTCTTTGCGCTGGTGTCGTGGATGTGGCAAGTGCAAAACAGAGTTGGTGAGGGGGGTGATGAAACTGAGGTCGCATAATGGTGTGTGTGTGTGTGTGTGTGTGTGTGTGTGTGTGTGGTGTAGATGAATTGTCACTGCTGTAACAAAGGCACACTTGTATGCAACGCACCGCTTCTTTGGCGTGTTGGAGTCAATGCTCCGCAGTGCTGTAGCTTCGGCATTCTTGAGGATCTGCAAAAAGGGCGAAAACAGGTCATGATCGTGTGAGCGTGTGCGTGCGTGTGAGCATGTGCGTGTACGTGTGCATGTGTGCACGTGTGTGTGTGTACGTGTGTGTGTGTGTGTGTGTGTTTCCTGGACAGTCTGTGAGGAGGGTCGCGTGCTTACCCCGGAAGACCGGCGTCGCAGCAGCTTCGCTGGCTTGGACCTGAACCGCACGCACGAGAAAAGAGTTGCGACCGGTGAGCCATGGAGCGTTTCTGCAGCGAATAGAGTCATCCACACACAAAGCATGCGCGCACAGCACACGCAGTAACATCTGCACCCACCAACACACACACACAGGCACAGACAGCAACGCAGGCACCACGCACCTCAGTGCGACCCGCTCCGTGTCCTCGAACACTTGGAACGATGACATGACGAACAAGCCGCTCGCGTGTGTGCGACCCGCTCCGTGTCCTCGAACACTTGGAACGATGACATGACGAACAAGCCGCTCGCGTGTGTGGATGGGGTGAGTGTATGTGTGTGTGGATGGGGTGAGTGTGAATGCGTTGTGAGCCAGCGGTTGGTTTGGCGGTTGGATTTTTTTTCAAATTTCCCTCCACGTCAAAAATGACAGGTGAGAGAAATATTGTTGAAATCATTATTGAAAATTCGGCAAAACGAGGCACACAGATGACACGAGTCAGGACTGCTCTTTTCTGTCAAGGACGGCTGTTTTGGCTGTTGGTTGGTGTTCTTCTATTGAGTTCGTGTGTTCTTCTTTCTCAGATTCTATCTTGACAGACTGCTGTCCAACTCTGGCCTTGCGGCAGCATGAGAGCGCAGGCGCAGCAGCCATACATTGCTTGTTCTAGTGTTCTCGTTCTTGGCGAGTGTTGTGCTGTTGTGGTCTTGTCTTGTCTTGTCTTCTCTTCCTCTGCACACACTTGTTCATCCCCTTCACCCCTTCACCCAGGTTGCCGTTCGTGATCACAATCGACACAGCACCGCCAATGCGACAACCGAACCGCATTCGTTGACATTCTGGAATTCTTCCTCTGTACATATTTCCTTTCTCTGTTTGTATTGTTCCAACTCATCATAAGCGCAAGCAACGATATGCTGCAGTATTTTGTCCTGATTGAGATCGCACTGCCGCAGCGATGCACGCAGCGCTGAAACGTTGGCACCCCCCTCCATACACCACAACCAGAGCTCCTCACGTTGTCGTGCATTACTTGAGGGTTTACAGTCCTAATTGTCTAATGCAGCTAATGCAGCCCTTAACCAAGTATGAGCAACCAATCATCCATAAGCAACGTCAAAACCTCGCTTCCCTGAGCGAGAAGAGCCTGACATCGTCCCCATGTCCACCCACACCACCACCACCATCATCGTCGTCATCATCATCATCGTCATCATCGTCGTCAGGAATCCAGCTGAGCGCAGACATGAGCGGGTCCATCTTGCCATTCGTGGCCGCCGAAGACGATGATGAGGTGAGGATGGAGTAGCCACTTCGCCGCAGCACCAGCGCCACGTTGGCACCCACGGACACAACGAGGATGCACACCAGGGCCAACAGCAGGGCGCCCAGACCGCTGTTGGTGCAGGGCAGGCCGAGCACGGCTGTTGATGTCGACTGGCATCGCCCGCCCACGCACTGCTCATGTGGGCTGCAGTCAACCGCAGACACGCACCCCACGCCCTCGTACTCGCGTGGAGCGTGCATGCACACGATCGTCGTCACCCTGCGCTCGCACCTGCGAGTGAGTGAGTGAGTGTGCGTGTGAGTGAGTGAGTGAGTGTGCGTGAGTGCATTTGGGAGTGAAAATGTGTGTGTGTGTGTGTGTGTGAGTGCACTTGGGAGTGACAACACCTACGGGACCGAGCGTGTGCATGTGCGCGCGTGTGTGTGTGTGTGTGCGTGCGTGGACGAACGACAGAACGCTCAAGAGCACATGTGTATTTGCGGTTCACTTACGTGAATTTTGAGCAGACGGGCGCACACGTCGTCTCGTTGCCGGTGCAATCGCATCGGTCATACGTGCACGTGTCGCTCGGCGTGAATGGCGCGTAAATTGGCAAGGTGAGGGATTCAAACGGGCACAGATGCAGGGAGGTAGGGAAACATGCAGGCAGCAAGTCAGATAGACAGCACACACACACACACACACACACACACACACACGCGCGCGCGCACACACACGCGTACGCACACAGACACACACAGACATAGACACAGACAGACACAGACACACACAGACACACACACACACACACACACACACCTCCCTCCAAGTTGATGGCATTGACGAGACCCAGACCAATGAGCAGATCGGCAAAGTCGTACAAGCTCATGCTGTTGTGATGGTGATGACAGCAACAGTGCCAATGCACGCCACACAAACAAACATGAGAAACAGGCAATACTTGTGTCTGCATGACATTGCAACACGGCCAATGTCGGACGGTTAGTGTGAGTGCAGTGTCAAACACGAACACGCATCCCCTTTGCAATGCATCCACTGCTCACCCTGCCTGCCCCGTCTTGCCATCGTGCTGCACAACAACAGCACGGCCATCGGCGGTGTGCCCAATTGCGGTCCGTGCAGACTGCACGCTGGCAAAATAGCTCCAGCTCCCTGGTGCAAGGCACGGGGTTGAAGGGAGAGAAGCAGGAGGTGGTGGTTTGAGTGAATGCTGGAGGGTACAATGAGGAGGGAGAGGGGCCGGGAAGAGGAAAAGGAACACGAGACAGGACACAGACACAGACACAAACAGATACACACAGACACACACACACACACACACACACACACACACACACACCTGTTTCCTGGATGCTCATGTCCTCGGCCAAGATGCTTTCAAACACGTTGTTTCTGCCATTCCGCACCAGCCACAGCGCCCCTGACGTGTATTGAGAGAGGAGGTGGGAGGGGGGAGCGGAGATGCAAAACGAGAGTGAGAAACACACTTGACGCAGTGAACATTCAAGGCACAGAGGCCGACTGGAACACAAACAAGCACAGTCAGCTCAGAGGCAACTTGGACACTCTTCGTTGGCCATCATCGTACCAGAGATGAGCTGCACAAATGGAGCGGGAGACGGTGTTGGTGCATCACCAGCACCACCCTCATCATCATTCATCTCATCAGCCGCACTATCACCACCACCACCACCACCACCACCACCATCATCATTGCTGGTGTCACTGGCATATGTGCTGTTGCCGTCCGCAGCCCCATTGTCGTTGATGACGGCGTGGATGTCATCGAGATACCCGACCACGATGCTGCCGTCCTGCCGGATCCCAAAGTGGGCGTTGCGGCGCCCGGGCCGAGCAACCAGCCGCCCATCGCTCACAATGTCGCCATAGCACGCGCCTGCAGTCAAAACGAAAACCAGCGTGGCACCCAGTAAGAAGCAGAAGCAGATGTTGGAAGAGAAGCATGAGGAGGAGGAGGAGGAGGAGAAGAAGAAGAAAAACAAGAAGAAGAAGAAGAAGAAGAAGAAGAAGAAGAAGAAGAAGAAGAAGAAGAAGAAGAAGAAGAAGAAGAAGAAGAAGAACAAGAAGAAAAACAAGAACAAGAAGAAGAAGAACAAGAAGAAAAACAAGAACAAGAAGAAGAAGAACAAGAACAAGAAGAAGAACAAGAAGAAAAACAAGAACAAGAAGAAGAAGAACAAGAACAAGAAGAAGAACAAGAACAAGAAGAAGAACAAGAAGAAGAAGAAGAACAAGAAGAAGAAGGGGGAGAGGCAGGTAGCACAGGCGCGGCCGCGGGCAAATGCTAATCACACATACACACGGCTGCAATCCATGGCATTGCAACTGCGCATTTTCACCCCCTTTCCCATATGCTGCACTTAACACAACACGCGTTCCTCTTCACAGCAGCATACTCATATGCCCACGTATGCACAACGTGGTACCTGTATGCGTGTTGAAGAAGCCAGCGTTCGCAGCGTATGTGCACCCATACCGTGCAGCGGACTCGCTCACGAGTGTCCTGCAAATCGGGGCGAGCAGGTTGATGAAGGACACAACACACGGTGGGTGTTTCGGATACGTTTGCACATGCCCGTGCTCATCAACGCAGCAGGCAACGTGGTGCTAGGCATGAAGAAGTTACAGGTGTGGCTCATGGAGGAGCTATTGTCGAACCTGTTGTCTGCGGGCGAGTTGCAGGTGCCCCGGTCTCCCGGCTCATAGATGGACAGCGTGCGGAGTGGGTCGGTGGCCACGGCCACCTGCACCCCAACACCTGCGCGTGCCAGTCGGCGCACGCTCACCCACGGCAACGCATCATCATCACGAGATGGTGGCGTGGTGCTGGGGTGGAACACTTCATACATGCGTTCGCCAGCGGTGCCACCGTCCCCTTCGTTTCGCCGCTCACGCAGTGCTGCTGTTCGCCGCACCCATTGTTCGCGAAACGTTTGAAGCGTCATGTTCCACCCGAATTCACCACGCGGGTACGGCGGTGCCAACACATCCATCCATGCTGGTGGAGCTGGAGCTGGCCCGGAAGGACCTTTTCTGTCATCTGCGTTCCCCTCACTCGCAACAACCCCGCCAACAACCGACACACCCGCCACCAAGGCCACCAACACAACAAAAACACGACCACCACCACAACCACAACCACAACCACAACCACTCAACGTCCTCATCCTCATCATCTTCCTCTTTTGGCTTCACCTTCTGCAGAGCATTTGCGTTGCTGCCAACAAATTTTCCCAACTTTGGTTGTGCGACAGGCGACAGGCGAAGCGATGGTGCACGTTGAAGCGGCTGCGGTGGGGGACGATGCGTGCAGCGTGTTTGTGGCACCAGGCGATACGGTGGAGGTGGCGCCCGTGGAGGTGAAGGGGGAGAAGGACGCCGCGCTGAGGATAGGGCCGGGCCTGACGGTGATCCCAGAGACACAGCTGCGTGCCGCAGGCGTCCTTGACGGCGACGCTAGCAGCAGCGGCAACACGGCGATGTTGCAGGTGGTGGTGCCCGGCGATTTGCGCAGGAAGGGCAACATGGTCTGGGTCGACGGCGTCCACAAGCGGGTGCGATTGTCATCGTTGCTGCTGTGTGTGTTGTGTGTTGTGTGTTGTGTGTGTGTGTTTGGATGGAGTGGGCTGAGGAGAGTGGAGAGGGTGGAGAGGGGAGTAAAGAGGGTTTGTTTTGCATATTTTGCATATGTACACATGTGTACGTTGGTGTGTGTGTGTGTATGTGTGTGTTTCAATGTGTGCAAATGCTTATGTATGTGAATGTGTATGTACACGCTCGTGCACGCACAAATTCACTGCTGCAATTGCTCCATCAAGGGTTCACTTCAACTCTGACTCTCCTCTTGTTTCATGTCGTGATCATCTCATGTTGTGGTGTGCTTGCGTGTAGGCGCTGCCGGCTGAAGGCGATTATGTGATTGGGATCATCACGGGCACGCCTGGCGAAAACTACAACGTGGATATTGGCGGCTCCTGCAATGCCACGTGAGTGAGCGTGTATGGGTGTGTGGGTGTGCGTGTGCTTTTGTGGGAGTGCGTGTGCGTTTGTGTGCGTGTGGATGTGCGTGTGGGTGAGAAGGTGTGTGCTGCTGCTTCTGTACAAGTGTCCTGCATCAGCTGGAGCTCATCAACATTGTGTGTGTGCACTCCTGGCACGTGTGATGGACCCTTGCAGCCTTCACAACCTGGCGTTTGAAGGCGCAACAAAACGCAACCGCCCCAGATTAAAGGTGCGCGTTGTGTGTTTGTGGGTGTGTGTGCACGAGTGCGTTGTGTGTATGCGTGTATGTGTGTGTATGTGTGTGTATGTATGGTGTTGTTGTGTCCTTTTCCTTTGTCATCCAATCTGTGCACTTCTTCTCCGCCCATGCGTCTCATTCCCCGCACGCACACGCACGCACGCACATGTGTGTGCAAACAGGTTGGCGATCTCGTGTATGCGAGGGTACAGCTCATGCACAAGTACATGGAACCAGAGCTCACATGCGTACACGCCAGGTACAACAGCGTAATTTGTTGCTGTTGCCTGCGTGCTGCTGTTCCTCGATGCCATGATCCACACGCAAACACTGTGTATGTATGCAACTCTCTCATCTGCACCCACACCCACACCCACACCCACACCCACACCCACACACACACACACACACACACACACACACACACACACACACACACACACACACACACACACACACACACACACACACACCCACCCAACCACACACACGCACACTCGTTCACTCCGTGGCAGCGGCAAAGCGCAAGGGATGGGCCTGCTGGAAGGCGGGTTTCTGTTTGAGATCTCCCTCGGTCTCTCCCGCACGTGAGTGGTCTTGTTATGCTGCAGAGAATGACAATCAGGGGGTACACTGCACACACACGCACACACACACACACACACACACTCACACACACACACACACACACACACACACACACACATCCAGTAGACACAAGGCGTTGCTCACCCTGCCTTCCTCGCACCCTTCCTCTCACCTCAACCCCTCCCCCCCCCACAACATTCATCTCAACGCCCCCCGTTGCCAACTGCCATCATCACAGGCTGCTGTCGCGTGGGTGTGCGGTGCTGCATGCGCTCGGGGCGGAGCTGCCGTTTGAGATCACCATTGGCCGCAACGGGCGCGTGTGGGCCAAGGCGGCGCGCGCGTGCGAGACGATGCTGGTGGTCAACGCCATCAGGGCCAGCGAGCGCCTCAGCGCAAAGCACACGCGCGAGCTCGTCAAGGAAATGGCCCGCAAGATCAGATCATAGCGGCAGCGTGGATGCGCGAGCGGAGGGTGTGTGCGTAGTGGTGGTGGTTGTGTGTGTGTGTGTGAGGTTGCTTCGTGTCTCTCTTCCTTCACATCAAATTGTTTCCATGTCACGGTCTGCTGTGGCTGTGTCGATCATCAAAGTCTTGATTAGTGAACGAACGACACACGTAAACGCGCCGACCAAGCTCATATGCACAACAAAGGCGGGGCTTCCTAGTTAGACAGACACACACAGACACACACACACACACACAGACACAGACACACACACATCACACAGACAGACAGACAGACAGACAGACAGACAGACACACACACACACACAGCGGCATGGCCAGCATGTACGCGCCACCAATCATCCATTCCACTCAGCCTTGCTCGTACACATCCCACTTGAGCCGCCACACCTTGAGCGTGTTGTCGGGAACCAAACACGCCTCTGCTTCCTCCTCCTCATCTCTCTCCTCAGCGTCCTCCTCATCAGCGTCCTCCTCATCGTCGCTGTCGCTGTCATCACCAACGAGTTCAAACATGCGCTGCCCTGACGCTGTCGCGAGCAACGGCAGATACGGGTGTATGGACACACCGTTGGTGGCGGCAGTGTGGATGTGCGCTGTGGTCGCTGTTCTGCGCAGCGTGTACGCTGGGTCTGTAATGGTGGTGTCTGGTCCGTCCGAAGAGACGCACGACCAGAGATCGTAGCACACAATGCTGCCGTCCTGTTGCCCCGTGATGAGGTACTGCCCACTCGGGTCGATGTCAAAGTACATGCGCTGGTTGGTGGTGACGCCGCGCTGCAGGCCCAGCAGCGGCCGTGCCATGTTGCGCACGTCGTATCCCCAGATGTGCGGGTCCATGCGCGTGCCCACGTACACGTGCGGGTCGTGCGGGCTGAAGAGCACGTGCGTGACGCCGGATGACACGCGGATGTGCGTGGCGATGGTCCGGGATGAGCAGTCCATGAGGGCGACGTCGCCACCGTAGCACCCGGCCGCCAGCAGCCTGTCGTCGTGGTTGCTGAACGCAAGCGTTGACACCACGCCCTTCATGTGTTGTCTTGTCAAGTCCCAGGCGGTGTAATCGCGGCCAGGCCGCTCCACGTCGAAGATGTGCAGCAGCCCGCGGTGGCCGCAGAGCAGCTGCGAACTGTCGTTGGTGAAGGCGAGGGCCTTGGGCGCTGCAATTTCATCGTACTGGTCGTAGCTGCGATACGAGCCGATCAACGTGCCCGTGAACGCGTCCCACGCATGCACGGGGTGGTCTCGGCACGAGGTCACAAACAAGCAGCTCGACGGGTCCTCTGAGGTCATGCCTGGCAGCCAGCAGTAGTCATACACCAGCTCTCCTTCCGCCGCCGTCAGCACGGGCTGCCAAGTTGACGCAGCACCACCAACACCCCTGTCCTCTGCACCAATGTCGTCACTGCCGTCATTGCTGTGAACGTGCGATGCCGTGGGTGTTAGCTGTTGTCCATGTGGCGCTGCCGTTGGTCTGTCACTCGCTCGGTCCTCTTGGTCTGCAAGCGCGGCGTCATTCTGTGTATCCATGCCGCTGCTGCTGTCCTGAAGGAGCGCGTCCGGGAGGTTGAACAGGCGAAGGCGGTTGTCATCGCTGCACGTCAAGATACACAGGCCGTCCGGAGCCCACTGGCAGCCCTTCAGGAAGTTGTTGTTGCCACCTGTGTCACACCGCTTTGCCGGCGCTGCGACACTTGTGGGGAACGTGTCATAGCTCGGGGTGCACAGCTGCAACTGCAGCCTCATCAGCAACTCCTCTGCGCGTGTCATCGTCGATGTTGTCCCACTGTGGTTGTCGGTCGCATCGTTGTCCGCACTCAACATCACCAGCGATCTTGACATTGTCTTGCTTGCTTGTTGCTTGCTTGTTGTTGTTGGAGAGAACGAACGAACGAACATGAACGTGTTGTGCACACCAAAGGACTTAGGCCAAGCAGTGTTGCACGCCGAGCGTCGCACCACATAATTTCATCGTACTGGTCGTAGCTGCGATACGAGCCGATCAACGTGCCCGTGAACGCGTCCCACGCATGCACGGGGTGGTCTCGGCACGAGGTCACAAACAAGCAGCTCGACGGGTCCTCTGAGGTCATGCCTGGCAGCCAGCAGTAGTCATACACCAGCTCTCCTTCCGCCGCCGTCAGCACGGGCTGCCAAGTTGACGCAGCACCACCAACACCCCTGTCCTCTGCACCAATGTCGTCACTGCCGTCATTGCTGTGAACGTGCGATGCCGTGGGTGTTAGCTGTTGTCCATGTGGCGCTGCCGTTGGTCTGTCACTCGCTCGGTCCTCTTGGTCTGCAAGCGCGGCGTCATTCTGTGTATCCATGCCGCTGCTGCTGTCCTGAAGGAGCGCGTCCGGGAGGTTGAACAGGCGAAGGCGGTTGTCATCGCTGCACGTCAAGATACACAGGCCGTCCGGAGCCCACTGGCAGCCCTTCAGGAAGTTGTTGTTGCCACCTGTGTCACACCGCTTTGCCGGCGCTGCGACACTTGTGGGGAACGTGTCATAGCTCGGGGTGCACAGCTGCAACTGCAGCCTCATCAGCAACTCCTCTGCGCGTGTCATCGTCGTTGTTGTCCCACTGTGGTTGTCGTTCGCATCGTTGTCCGCACTCAACATCACCAACGCTCTTGACATTGTCTTGCTTGCTTGTTGCTTGCTTGTTGTTGTTGGAGAGAACGAACGAACGAACATGAACGTGTTGTGCACACCAAAGGACTTAGGCCAAGCAGTGTTGGTGGTGGTGTTGGTGGTGTTGGTGGTGGTGGAAAGCAGGGTCTGTGTGTGAAGCGTGAAGACGCGCGCGTGTGCGCGTGTGGATATCTGTGTGCATGCACTCTCTGTGTGCGAGGAGCAAGGGGCAGGGAACAACAACAACAACAGCAACAACAACAGCAACAACAACAAGTGGAAGGAATCAAGAACAAACATGGATGGTGGTGGTGCTGTTGCTGACACGGTGGGGGATGCAGAGTGATCGATGCAGTCAAGACACACACGCCTGCGCGTACATGTACGTGTACGTGTGCGTGTGTCATCATCACACGTATTGCACGGTGTTGAGCTCCTTCTCCATGTCGATGTTCTTCGTCTTTTCCTTAACTGCTCATCACAAGCAACGCGGGAAAGTGTGAGACACAAGGCGACATGAGGAAGGGGTGTGTCGGGTTTGGGTCCCTCCGTCCGTGCATGCTCGTGTGTGTGTGTGTGTGCACACTCATGTGTGTGCATGAAGATGCGCGCGTGCATGCAAAGGTTTCTTACATTGTCCGACGAGGGGCTCGCCTTGTCCGACTGCAAGAGGGGAAGCAACAGGGAGAAGCAGGGGTGCGTGGTGGTGGTTGTGGGTGGTTGTGGGTGGTGGTAGGTGCACAATTAGTGTGACCAAGGTGAGTGAAGGAGAGGGAGATGCTACAGAGACAGACCACACAAGCACACGCATATGCACACACACACACACACACACACACACACACACACACACACACACACACACACACACACACACACGCAGTGCAAGGGGCAACGTACGGATGGAGGAGGAGCGCTCTGAACGGAGGACGCGCGAGTCGCGCATACGGCTCTGCTTCGCCTCGTTGGCCCAGAACTGCGCCTTGCTGTCGTCCATGTTCAGCCGGCTCCCGCCCCGCACAGATTGCCTGCAGGCACACACCAAGGGGCACACGTATCGCAAGCACGCACCAACAGATTAGACCATCGAATAGCAAGCAATCGAGCAAAGCAAGCCGACATCAACTCCACTCGACAAGCAGTGTCATCATCACCAAACCCCCTCACACAGTCTCCGACCACAACCACCGCCTCCCCCTCCCCCCAAACTTGGCTCCACCACGTACACGGGCGGGTGCTTGCGTCGAACAGCCCGGGCCTCGGCGCCGCTCTGCGCCTTGACCGCCTCCCGCACGCGCCGCCGCATCTTGCGCGCGTTCTCCTCCATCTTCGCCTCAAGCTCCACAATGCGCTTCTCGTAGGCCTTGATGCGCGTGTCCGAGACGTGCAGCTGGCGCTGCAGTGTGCGGCTCTTGGTGGCGAGGTCCTTTGCCTCCCGCCGCAGCCGCTCGTTCTCCTTGTGCAGCACCTGCTGCTCCGCAGACCCGGCGCCCTCCTCCCCGGCGCCACCAGCCGTGCCCGCAATCGCCCCACTCTCCCGAAGGTGGTTGAGCGCGGTGCGGCACTGCTCAAGAATGGTCTCGCGCCACTTCTCCGACATGGCCGTGTACGAGTGCAGCTTCTGCCGCGTCGCCACGCCAATCACCTCAGACTCCTTCTTCTCCTTCTCGCTGGCCGCCGCGCGCTCGCTCAGCTGTGCCAGCTCCGTCTTCTGCGCGTCGACCACGTGCCGCTGCGCCTCCAAGTCTGACTTGAGCTGCTCCACCTCCAACAGCAGCTCGTCCTTGTCCGCCTGGTTCTTCTCCAGGGCAGCCTTGGTCGTCTCCAAATCGGACCGAAGCGCCGCAAGCTCCTTGCTGTCCTCCTCCCGTTGAAGCGACCGCTGCTTCTCGAGTTCTTCCCGCAGCTCCGTCATGCGCTTCTCGTCTGTCGACCGCGCCTGCGCCTCCTTCTGCTGCACGTTCTCCTCAATGGTCACCAGCTGCGACATGAGGCCCTCGATGCGCGCCTGGCTCTCCGCCTTGTGCTGCCGAAGCTCCTCAGCTTCCTGCGCCAGCTTCTCCCTGGCACCCAGATTGTGTTTGATTGGTTGTGTATGTGTGTGGTTGATTGATGTGTGTGTGTTTGTGTGCGGTTGATTGATGTGTGTGTGTGTGTGTTCGTGGTTGATTGATGTGTGTGTGTGTGTGCGTTTGTGAGTGTATGTGTGTGTGCGTTTGTGAGTGTGAGAAGAACGACAGAAACCTGCGGGGGATGCAGGCATTTGTTACATGTGTCAAGTACCACCGCCACAACACCAAGCATCATGCCACCACCATCACCCCTACACTGCACTGCATTGCAGTGCTTTCCATCGCGTCCGCGTACTTTGCCTGGAGGAGGTCTGCGTGCTTCTTCTCGAGCTGGCCGTACGAGACCTGGCTGGTGGTCAGCTCCCGCCGCGTCGCCTCAAGCGCCTCCTGCAGCTTCGTCTTCTCCTCGCCCATCTCGCTTTGCACCTGTAGATGTGTGTGTGTGTGTGTGTGTGTGTGTGTGTGTGTGTGTGTGTGTGTGTGTGTTGAGCGGTTGGTCGGGTTGATGTGGCAACAAGGAACGCAGTCCACAGGTAAGCAGGGAGGGATGTAGCCAAACATTGCACACATAGACACACACACGCATGCACCCACCCACACAGACACACACACGCACCCACCCACACATACAGACACACAACACATATGCACTCGCACCTTCTCGAGGTCGCCGCCCTTTGAGAGGAGCTGCTTGACATACGCGTGCACCTTCGACAGCTGCGTGTCGACAATGGTGCCCGTTTCCGGCAGTTCCGCCTCGGCGTCCTCTGCTGAGGACAGGCGCGCCACAGCCTCGGCGACAGATGCCAACTGCGCCGCCGTTGCGGCCGTCTGCTCTTCCATGGCGCCCTGCAGCTTCTTCGTGCGCTCCTACACACAGTCGTGGTTTTGAGAGAGAGAGAGAGAGGGGGCGGGGGAGTAAGTAACCAGGAGAGAGGGGGCGTGAACGTTCGTACGCACGTCCAAAACAAACAATCGAGGGATGGTGAGTCATGTAAGCGATGCAACACATCACACGAGCACACCCACACACACACCCACACACCCACCCACCCCACAACCCCCCCTACACACGTGCATACAAGCAGCTAGACTTACGATTGCGGCCTTGAGGTCTGCGTCGAGTTTGCCGTTGACCATGGCCATATCCTCAATGGCAGACTCGTACTCCTCATTCTCGGCCAGCAGCTGCGCGGCGTGACAGACAGGAAGACAAACAGGAAGGAGGAAGGTGACGATGGGGGAATGAAGGGTTGTCGGTGGTGGTTATACGTGCATGTGAGTCGTTTGCAAGACTGTGCAGAGGGATAGAAGCAAGGAACGAAGCAGTGAAGGGACCAAGTAAGGCAAGGAACGCGACGACAAAGCAATACCGCCCCACGTACATTAGTCTCGACCTCCTCCTGTTCCTGGAGGAGTTGCTGCAGCTGGGCCTTCTCCGAGGCGAGCTTGGTGATGGTCACCTTATCCTGCGACAGAACCTCAATCTCCCGCTCCAGCTCCCGGATAAACTTGTCCTGCACGCAATTCACGCCCAGCAGGGGCATGGTGGTGATGGTGGCGAGTTGTGTGAGCAGCGAAACAGCACAGGCGAGACCAACGATAGGAATATGGCACGCAACCGTTCAATAAACATGCGACAGTACACACACACACACACACACACACACACAGACACACACAAACATAGAGAGGGAGAGAGACACCCACCCACCCCCACCCACACACAGGCATACACTCCCCCCCCACACACACAGGCACACGCACACATAGCGTACAAACTCCAAAACAGTTCCAATAACCACCACGACCACCACCGCCACCATGATAACCTTGTCGTCGAGCAGGTTGAGGAGTTCCTCTTCGCGTTCCAGCAGTTCTCTGCGTTCTTCCTCCGAGATGCCGCCCGCCTCCTTGGGGCCGGCACCCTCTTCCTCTTCCTCCTCGCCCTCTGCCAGCGCCTTGGTCACCGCGTCGCCGGCCTGTGCTGTCAGGGCAACACGGTCTGCCTCGCTGACGGTGCCACCCTCGCGCCAGATCTTGAGCTCGGCCTCTGCCGCCTGCAGCCGCTTGGCAAGCTTCTTGATCTCCTTCTTCGCTTGGTCCAGCTGCCACACGGCGTGGGACGGGCGTACGATATGGGTGATGTGAGTGAACGTAGGATGTGCGTGTGTGCGTGTGCGCGCGCGTGTGTGTGTTTGGGTGTCACAGTGGATGCGGTGGGTGATTGCCATGTGCGTACATGCGACACAGGGAGAGTTGTGTGTATTGTACACTACCCAACACAACACCATACAACACCATACGAATGACGGCACCTGTTTCTGGAGCTCCTCGGCGCTGTACTTGACGTTGATGACGGCGCGGTTCTTGATGCGCTTCGCTCGCTGGCCAAACCGCAGCGTCGAAATCGTCTCTGCACACGCACACACACACGGCAGGGCGTGATGGAGGTGGTGGTGGTGGTGGGATGAGTGGAGGTGGTGATGAGTGTGATGGTGGCGTGAGGTGAGGTGGTGATGAGTGTGATGGTGGCGTGAGGTAAAGATGGGCAGCCATATGCTGGTCACGGATGAGGGAAAGGTGCTCTCAGTTACTACTTGACGCACACACATGCGTACCCTGCTCGTTGTAGGAGGAAGGGCTGCAGCAGATGATGATGGTGGTGCGGGAGTTGCCACCAAGCGATTCCTAAACACACGCACACGCAATGGAGGCAGAAGCAAGCACGCGCATGTCAAATCTCACAAATGTATGCGGACACGCACAACAAAGCACTTGCACATCAGCAAGAACAGCAGCAGCAACAACAACAACAACAACAACAACAACAACAACAACAACAACAACAACAACAACAACAACAACAAGAACAGGAGCAAGAACAACAAACACACAGACAGACAGACAGACAGACAGACAGACACACACACAACACCAGCACCACCGTCGGCGGACCTGGAGGATGCGGGTGAGCTTGGAGTCACGATAGGGGACGTGTTGGCGCTTCTGCCCGTCGGTCAGGGACATGATCACGAGACCGAGCGCAGAGAGCGATTTGTTGATGTTCTTTGCCTCCTGCAGCACCTCGCCCTCCGCGTGGGTCTTGGAGACCTTCTCTGAACCCGCAAGATCGACGAGGAAGAGCTTTCCGGTCTTCATGCCGCCGCGCACCGTGTCCTTCTGCGAAATCTCCATCAGAAACACAGAGTGGCTGCGGGAGCTGATGTCGTTCATGTCTGCAGGCGGTAGTGGTGGGCGGTGGCGATGGTGAGTGGGGGTGGTGATGATGGGTGGGGCGACAATTATGTAGTGCAGCATGAATTGTCCACACACATACACACACACACACACACACACACACACAGACAGACAGACAGACACACACACACAGACACAGACACACACACACACACACACACACACACACACACACACACACACACACACACAGGGGCGACCGACTTGTTGACGCGACGGATCGTCGCTCGGCGCCGGCACGCATGACATCCATGACGTCCTCCGGGTCCTGCATGTACAGCTCCGTCGCGTGTCGCACATACACCCCGCGCTCACGGTTCTCGTGGATCTGCAGGTTGTCGTTGCCGTCTGCACGCAGCGGTGTTGGCGGCGGTGGAGGTAGCAGGGGTCGGGAAGGGAGATAGAGGATGAGGAAGCAGGGAACGTCGCAAGCAACCACACAGAAGGTTGCACCCCGAATACACACACACAAGGAAATAAAAGCACACACACACACACAAGGAAATAAAAGCACACACACACACACACACACACACACACACACGCACGCACACGCACGCACGCACCGCAGAGGAGGTCTGAGATGCGCTCCATGTAGATTTCAAAGTAGGAGACGCGGACGGTGAACTCAAGCGTCTCTGGCGCCATGTCGATGTACTGGAAGATGTTCTCCACAATCCGCGGGATGATACCGCGCGACGCAGGGTCGTCGATGCTCGGGCCCTGATGGTGGTGGTGGTGGTGGTGATGGGGTACGGTGGCAGCGGTGAGCGACACGTTGCACACTCAGACACAGGGGCGCAACATCCACACGAAAGCACACACGTGCAGTGAAACACAACCACGTATGCGCACACACACACACGCACACACACACGCAAAGACACACACACACACACACACTCTCTCTCTCTCACTCACTCACGCACACAGATAAATACGCACCTCCATGGTATGGGTTTTACCCGAGGAGGTCTGACCATACGCGAAAATGGTGCCGTTGTAACCCTTGAGCACATCTACGAGGAGGCATGAGCGATATCCATGGTGGCGTGGCGTGAGATGACATCATACGCATATGGTGTCACGCTGGCGCAACCCACGTGCAAACGTGCCGGTGATGCACACATGCAACTTGGTGGCGCACCTTCGACGATGGGGCGGGCGGCATACTCGTACACGTCATCCTGCGAAGAATCTCCGTCAAAGACGCGGTCGAACGTAAACTGCGCCTGGCGCTGGCCCTGTACACGAGACGCACAACAGCACGCAAAGGACACGACGAAGTCATCGTTTGTCAGTCATTGTTGCTCGGATCTCAAACACATGGGTTGTACACAACAGGGGAGAAGAGAGACGGGTAGATTGATAGGGAAGGGGGAGAAGGGAGAAGGGAGAAAAGGGGGGAAAGGGATGTACAGACAGAGACAAGAGAAGTACACAAGCACATGTACATAAGCACATGCACCCACACACCCACACACATCCACTCACATGCACACCGCATACATCCACACACTCCCGCCCATACGCATTGGAGCACACGGCACAGTGAACGAGTGCCGTACATCAATGCTGACTGTTGATCCAGAAGGGTCCACGGTGGAGATGTTCACGCCACCACGCGACGTCTCGTTGCTGAGCTGTGGCCGAAAGCGGCACACAACCCGCACATTGCCACCACTCGACATGATGCTGCCACGAAGCTCAGGGCAAGGTCAAAGCCAAGGTCCCTGTTTCCGCAGCACGTGTGCGAGGACAGCACGCCATTAGGCGCCGTTCAACAAGGTTGCAGCAGCAAAGTGAGTGAGGTTGCATGACTTGACAGGTACGACCCGGGCCACACAACTGTGTGGCGTGTCGCGGTCCCTCCATGAACAAGCCACAAGCGCAACAAGTGCAACGCCAACCCTCGTCAAACACAGCACGGATACACAGGAGCAGCAGCATAACAACTCCAATGACGCGCAACTCGTCATACCACCCCCTCCAGCGCACACACACACACACACACACACACACACACACACACACACACACACACACACACACACACACACACACACTCACCGATACAGAAGAGGAAGGACGATTGCGGTGCCGCACACAGCGCAGCAGAATGATCACGCACGCACGTACACACAAACAAACACCAAACGCTCAATCCAACAACCCAAACGGCCAAGCGCGCTGGCACAATCGAAATGGAAAGAGATGGAGGAGGGAGAGCGTGCGTGGGTGCAGCACGAGGAAGGGTGTGCGCTGGCGTCTGTCCTCTTCTCCTTCCTGAGTGAAGTTTGCACGCCACCAGCACAAAAGCACACCACGAAGCCAACAAGACAAGACAGCACAGCAAAGCAAGCGAGCGAAGGGGTATGGAAGGCAAACGCAACGGCTTCTTTGGTCGTTTGTCGTTGGTCAAAGATAATTCACGGATATCGCCATACAATATTCCACCCAGCAGCACACAGGCGGAAGAAGAGAGGGTGAAGCGTGGTTGCCCACAACAACACAACAAGACGCGGTGTGGTGGGTTTGGAGCCTGCTGTGGTGGTGAGTGTGATGGTGGTGGCAGTGGTGGTGTTGGCTTGCTGACGGATATTGAAGAGACAGGCAGCACCCACAGGCAACAGCAGCAACCACAGCAGCAACAGCAGCAGCAGCGTCAGTGGTGGCAGTGAGATCCAGAGCAGCAGAGGGACAGAGAACACCAGAAGAAAGGAAGGCGTGATTGGATAGTGAGGTGCGGGACGTGGCGTGTGGTGGTCGTGTGTCTGATTGACAAACAGGGAGTAAAGCCACACACACACCCCTCGCTGACGTGGAACCATGAGCAGGCACCGCGCCTATGTGTTCCTCGTCGCAGCAGGTATCGCCATGGTGGTGGTCTTGTGGAATCACACAAACGGTGGAGAGGGGCCAGGGTTGCTTGCAGACACATATGGTCAGCAAGAACAACCCTGGACAACGCCGAGACCGGTGCGGAGGGCTGGCGACACTCCACTCCCATCAGACCGCAAAAGTGCAACACAATCACAGGCGGCGAATCAGCAAGCCGCCGCAGGGACCGTGCAGGGCACAACACAAGCAGCAGCAGCAGGAGCAATAGGCACTCCAAAGAGCGACATGGATCCAACCACAGACGAAGGCCTTGTCGCTCCAAACAAGGTGAGACCTCAGTGAGGTTTTGTGCATGTGAGCATGTGTGTGAGCATGTGTGTGCGTGTGTGTGAGCATGTGTGAGCACATGAGTGTGTTCTTGGTGCACGTTTGAGTCGTTTGAATGTGCGTTGGGCGTGTGTTTGTGTGCGTGGTGTGTGCGTGGTGTGTGCGTGTATGCATGCATGCGGCGGTGTGACCACACCTCACCACACGCATGATGGTGCCGTGTTTCACTGCTGTGACTGCTGGCCGCACAGGGCAACAATGGTGGGACAGAGACCAGGGACGCTCAGGACAAGAGTCAGCGGCTCAACGTGACACCCGCGCCAGGGCAGGCAGGCAACACTAGGCCCACTGCAAAATCAACGACGACAACGACGACAACAACAACCACCACCACAACAGTAATGACAACAACCGTTGCACCAGCAGCGGCGACATTGACGACCAGCCGCCTCTCTGTGCACGTGTTTGGGTTCAACCGGCCGGACAACTTCCTGCGGCTGTGGGGGCAGCTGATGGCTGCGCGGCCAAGCGGCATGCCGACGTACTTTGTGATCCACGTGGACTACGACCGGGAGGAGAGCGAGGCGTGGAAGGAGCAGGTGACGGTTGCGTCGGGCCTGTCTGGGACGACGACGGCGCACGGCCCCGTGACGGCGGTGTTTGCTGCGTCGCCAAAGGGCCTGCGGGCGACGATGCTGGAGGCGTGGGCGCCCGTGGAGGGGGAGTACGCCATGTTTCTCGAGGACGACATTGAGGTGTCGGAGATGCTGTTTGTGTATGCCGAGCACTTTGTGCGGCGGTACGGGGAGGGCGAGGAGCAGGACCCGAGCGTGCTCGGGTACAAGCTGTACAACCAGAAGTGGGACGAGGTGAACCAGCGGTTTGAGCGGCCCGTCAACAACAACAACATGCCCTTCAAGATCCAGGAGCCGTGCAGCTGGGGCACGGTGTTTGTGGCGGCGCCATATGCGCGCTACCTGCGCTGGTACGTGGACCACAGCCGGCTGGACCCGTTTATCCCGCACGCGTGGAGCAACACGTGGGACGCGGAGCGCAGCGCAAAGAAGTACCTGCAGCGGTTCATGTGGGAGGAGCGGCTGTGGGGGCAGCTGATGGCTGCGCGGCCAAGCGGCATGCCGACGTACTTTGTGATCCACGTGGACTACGACCGGGAGGAGAGCGAGGCGTGGAAGGAGCAGGTGACGGTTGCGTCGGGCCTGTCTGGGACGACGACGGCGCACGGCCCCGTGACGGCGGTGTTTGCTGCGTCGCCAAAGGGCCTGCGCGGGACGATGCTGGAGGCGTGGGCGCCCGTGGAGGGGGAGTACGCCATGTTTCTCGAGGACGACATTGAGGTGTCGGAGATGCTGTTTGTGTATGCCGAGCACTTTGTGCGGCGGTACGGGGAGGGCGAGGAGCAGGACCCGAGCGTGCTCGGGTACAAGCTGTACAACCAGAAGTGGGACGAGGTGAACCAGCGGTTTGAGCGGCCCGTCAACAACAACAACATGCCCTTCAAGATCCAGGAGCCGTGCAGCTGGGGCACGGTGTTTGTGGCGGCGCCATATGCGCGCTACCTGCGCTGGTACGTGGACCACAGCCGGCTGGACCCGTTTATCCCGCACGCGTGGAGCAACACGTGGGACGCGGAGCGCAGCGCAAAGAAGTACCTGCAGCGGTTCATGTGGGAGGAGGGCCTGTTCCTCATCAGCATCAACCTGCCGGACCACAAGTCCCTCACCACCCCGCGCGTGGAGGCCGGCACAAACATCAAGCAGAAGTGGCTCCCCTACCTCAGAGAGCGCCTCGAGGTGCCCCTCGTCACTGCAAAAGGTGAGTGTTGCGTGAGTGTGTGTGCGTGTGTGCGTGTGTGTGTGTGCGTGCGTGCGTGTGTGTGTGTTTGTGTTTGCATGTTTGTGCGTGCGTACGTGCGTGCGTGTGCGTACGTGCGTGTGTGTGGTGTGTGTGTGCGTGTGTGCGTGTGTGCGTGTGCCTGTGTGCGTGTGTGGTTGTGGTGATGTGTGTGTGTCTGTGCGTACTCTGTGTTTTCTTTTCCAGCACAACCCACCTACTCTCACCACACCCCACCACCATCCTTTCCACGTCCACCAGACCCGCTGCCGGATGTGAGCGCGTGGCCTGCGCCATCTGATATGTTGCTGCTGACGTGGGGGCGAAAGCGCATTAAGGCGCCGCTGCTTCCCGGCCAACAGACCATCACCCGCTTCTCAGAGACCCTCCCCAGCAGCAAGGAGTTTGACCCAAGCCCAAAGCTGCCCGCACGGTGAGCTGGTGTGCGTGTTGCGCTTGTTTGTGTGTGCATGTGTGTGCGTGCGTGTGCGTGTGCGTGCGCATGCATTCGTCCGTGCATTTGTAGTGGCAAACCAGACACATCCACCAACACCGAATGTCAACCACCGAATGTCAACCACGGAGAATGTCATCATCACCACTTCTATCTCACCACCACCACCACCACCACCACCACCGCCATCGTTATCAGGGAGCGGTATCTGGACAAGGTGCGGCAGCGTGTGCGTAACCACGTACTCGACATTGATCTCGGCTGTGACCGCGACTGGCTGCCGGGGGAGGTGGTTGTGCTCAAGGAGATGGTGAGACGCAACCACAGAATACAGTTCACACCACCAAACATGCTCGTGTGGACAAGCATGCACAAGCACACATACTGATGCGCGGTGCCCATGCGCATGTGCTGCATTGTGCATATCGATGCATGCATGCTGTTTTGCTCCTGTGTTGGCTGCCTCTGCCACAAGCTCTCACTCGAATGCACGCACTACACTCACTCACACTCACTCACACTCACTCACTCTCACTCACTCACACTACACACACACACACACACTCGCACACACACACACACACTCGCACACACACACACTCACCACACTCACAACACTCACAACGCTCGCTCAATCCCAACCCCAATGTCCGCGTCGATAGCTGCAGGCGTCAAAAGTGTCCGTACCGGCCTCTGCGTCCGCCCACGTCATGTGTCTGCTTGCACGCATGCACGACCCAGCGCTGGGTCGCCCTGCCCTTGTGGTGGACGTGAAGCTTGGGCTTGGCTCGCGCGTACGGGCCATCAGCTCCGCGATGGCGATGGCAAGCAGTCTTGCGCGCACGCTGGTGGTGGTGTGGACACCCGATCACCACTGCGAGGCGTCGTTTCGTGACTTGTTTGCAGCGCACGAGGACCTCTCTGTGGTGGAGGATGGTTCCGAATTCCTCAAGTTGGCAAAGAACGCACGTGGCACATGGAAGATGGTTGACATGCTCAACGCAGCGGTACGCGCCAGTCCACTCAATTTCCCCAAGAGCAAGCACGTGTACATCACCACGGCATACGCACTCAACAACTCGCCGCTCTGGCACTACCGCAACGACAACATTTATCTCAGGTACGGTGTGCGTGTCTGCGTGAGTGTGTATGCATGCGCATGCGTGTGTAGTTGCTGTGCGACTTGCTTATCTGATGTGTTGTCCTCGTGTTGACACGTCATGATTTCATCACTGCACGACACTTCATTTCAATACCTCCCCTCTCCTCAACATGTTCATGGCTGCACGACTCACGCCACATCTTCACTCCACCTCACATCATTCGTCACTCTGCTTACCACGGCACGATCATCTCACCAGGGGCCTGTTGCGACAGCCAAGCAGTCCCGTCCAAGCCATCATCAACCGCTACTACTCGTCGCTTCCCGTCAGTGCACCAGATGCCCCAGACTTCCACGCGCAGCTCACGGGCGTGCACGTGCGCATGAACACGGACGTGCATGGTGAGGTTGGCGGTGACCGTGACAGCATGCTCGACCTTGCTGTCCCCTTCCGCCTGGCGTGCCACTGGCGCCATTTTGTTGGCCGCATTGCAGCGCTTGAACCGCCCGTCACAGAAGTGTTTGTATCCAGCGACGTGCCTTCTGCTGCTGCCGGCCTGGCACAGCATGTCACCGTGCACGCCCTGCCCACGTGCACCACGCGCAACACAACGTGCATGCAGATTGCGACTGCCAGCGCCATGCTGCTCAGCAGGTGCTCGCGTGTGCTCCTCAGTCGGTGGTCTGCCTTCTCCGAGGTGGCGGCCCGCGCAGGGGGGCACAAGTTCGACTATGCATGCGATGGCCCCAAGGACGGCTGGAGTCTGGCTGGTGGGGAGTATCGACAGCTGCGGGAGGAGGTGGCTGCGTACTTGGCGTCACAGCACTGGCAGCAGAAGCAGCCTGTCATCAAGGCGTTCTCCTCATATCGATCATAGCACCTACTGCTCCTTCGGACGGACCAGCCGCTGCTTTGCATAGTTCTAGGCGAACCGCGGTGCCGGGACGTGGCTGTGGCGAGCAGGTGCAGTTGCTGATCGTGATAGTTGAGAGAGGAGAGGAAAGGAGGGGGGGGGGCCGTGGTTGATGGTGGTTTGGTGTTGGAGTGAATTTTGGGAAGGGGGGGGGGAAGCAAGTGCGATTGCCGTTATCAGCAATCGGTGGGCTGCTCGGAGACGTATTATTCAAACAGGTGTGTATGTGTATGTATGTGTATGTGTGTATGTGTGTGTGCTTTGATGACCGCATCGAGTAAACTTTAGGCCAAGAACAGCCGCAGCTGTGGTGGTGGTGGTGGTGGTGGTGGTGGTTGACAGGAAGTGTGCGGGGAAGGGCCTTTTACGAGCGACAACAACGACATCACACACTCGGCATGAAAGGCGAGAACAACAAACAAACACACAAACAAGCAAACAACAAGGAAGGAGAGGGCCCTGATATTGCACGCGTGCAAATGATTACAGGTGAGGACAAACAACAGGCAGGAAGCAAAAGGCGAGAAAAGAACAATCAAGCTGGCTGGCTTGCCGCTGTGAGGGCTGGCGACGAAAGGAACCAAGCAAACAAACAAGGCAAACGAGCACAGAGTAATGGATGGATGGGTCGGTTTGATGCTGTGAATTGTGCGACGAGTGGGACAAGCCACACAGGAGCTTAGATGCTAGTGAAGGGGGTTGGTTGGTTGGTTGGTTGGTTGGTTGGTGCTGCATGTCAAAGAGAGAGAGAGCGAGTGTGGCGCGAGGGGTTTACTCCTCGTCGTCCTCTTCCTCTTCCTCCTCTTCTTGGCCAGCCTCGTCCATGCGCTCCTTCAGCTTCTTCTCATCCTCATCGCTAACAGCTTGCGGCTGAATGCACAGACAAGACAAGACAAGACAAGACAGGCAGGCAGGCGCAAATTTGGGCAAGGCGCATGTGTTGGATGCGTGAGCAGTTACCGGTACCACCACCACCAGCAGCAGCAGCAGCAAAGATCATCGTGAACGCAAATGGGCTTGATTGCAGGACACACATATACAAGTGGCAGGCGCTGCACCTGACAAGAGCACCACCACCACCACGACGACGACGACCACCGACAACAACAACAACAACAACAACAACAACAACAACAACAACAACAACAACAACAACAACAACAACAACAACAACAACAACAACAACAACAACAACAACAACAACAACAACAACAACAACAACAACAACAACAACAACAACAATAATGACGACAGAAATCATAATGATGACGATGATGGTACCTCGCTGCGGACTTGGAGCTCGCCGTCGCGGGCCTCGAGCTCAGAGCGGATGCGCTCAATGCACGTGTTGAGTGCGTCAATGCCCAACTTGCGGTCCAGCGCAACCGTCTCAATCTTGTACGTCGGCGGCGCAATCAGGTTGATCTGGGTGGTGGAGGTGGAGACGAGAAGGTTGGGGGGGGGGAGGTGGTGAGCGATGGTAGTTGGAGCAGCCAAGGCGGTGGAAATTGACACAAACATGCTTCACAACAACAACAACAACAACAACAACAACAACAACAACAACAACAACAACGTAAACAACAGCAACAACAGCAACTTAAGCAACAGGAGCAAACGGAGGAGGCACCTGAATCTTGAAGTCGTCTGTGGACTCCTCGAGGCCAGCTTTGAGTGCAGACTTGACGGCCTCAATGCCCTCGTACGCGTAGCACTGCGCATCAACCTCCGCCCTGATCTTAACCGTGTTGGGCATGAGCCTGTGCTTGACCTTCTCCACAAGCTTCTCCTTCACATTCTCCGGAAGACCAAATGTGTCAAACAGCTCAGGTGTCTCACTGTCCACGCACACACGCAGCAGGTAGAGAGGAGAGGGAGAGGTGCGAGTGTGAGACGCAATGGCATGTGACGCGTCGTGAGGCGTCGTGACGCGTCAGTGATGAAGACGCACAGAGAAGAAGAAGAGGGGGATCATCTGGTGTGCCGTTCCACACGCGCGCGCGCACACACACATACACACACACACACTGCAATGCATCACCGCCACATGACAAGGGGGGTGGCATCATGTGTGTTGGTTGGATGCTTACACAATGGCCTTCTTGAAGGCCTGGTACGATGAGCCGGGCTTGTCGCCCTCCTCCAGCTTCCACGCCGTCTTCTCGTACAGCTCCTCAAGGTCCTGCAGTGCGGGCGGTCACAAAAAGGGGGACAGGGGGAAGGCAGGGTGTAAGTGCACGCGAAAACAGTGGAAGAAACGGTGGGAACAGGACACACACACACACACACACGTACGTAGCCTGTGGCGTCTGCGACGGTGCGGAGGATGGAGTTGACCTGAGGGGGGAAGCAACAGAGGCATTCAAGACCATGATGAGATGGGGCCAACGTGAACAGACAAACAACAGTACTTGAGACCCGAACCAGGCACGCAGGCAAGGAGGAATGTTGCAGGTACACTGGTCATTTTGAGGGAACGTACAATCTTTGCCTCGCTGTATCTGTTCTCGCACTTGGCAACCTCATCTGGGCTGACACGGCGCTTGGACAGGTCAATGTACCCCTGTGCGAACCACACCAACAAAACACGCAGAAAAGCCACAAGGCGTTGCATCCAATAGGTGAGCATTTGCGTTTGCATGCATGCGTGCATGTGTATATGTGTGAATACATATGTGCGTGTGTATGTGTGCATGTATGTATGTGTGCATGTATGTATGTGTGCATGTATGTATGTGTGCATGTATGTATGTATGTATGTATGTATGTATGTATGTATGTATGTATGTATGTATGTATGTGTGCATGTGGACATGTGCGTGTGTGTGATCGAGACACGTGGAACGGTTCATGAGCGCGAACGTACGCGGCCCTCGTCCACACGAAGGACAACAACGGCCTCGGTCTTGCCGACGCGGACGAGCTTGTTGATGGATCTGTCACAGCAAAGCAGCAGTACGAGCGCCATGAGCTTCATGCTACACGGCATTGCGCGTGCAGGTGGGTGCAAGTCAAACAATCAAACAAACGAGTTCACGCACACACCTGATGCGGCGTCGTGACAGCTCGCTGAGGAGGATCATACCCTGTAACGAGCGGTGCGTGAGGTAGGGGAATAGATGTGATGAGACGAGATGCATTGGAGGCGTGGTGTTTTTGTGATGTCATGCAGATTGTGTGTTTCATGCCAACCACGAAGGGAAGAGCGAGGGAGCAGCACCAGCGCAACGAACAGGGAGGAGGAATAAGTCGAGCGTACCTCAACGCCATCGTACTCGAGGAGCTCGACGTATGCGCCCATCTCTATCATTTTGTTCAAGAGAACAGAGGCGTGAGGTGCGGTTGGACAGCGGCATAGGCGGCGTGGGTGGCAAAGTATTGCACAGCAGCCGTCGCACAAGCAAAGCAAACACGCATAGATACAGATAGACAGGCGCACACATAGACACACACACACACACACGCAGACACACAGACACACAGACACACAGACACACAGACAGACACACACACACACACACACACACACACGCACCTGCGATGGACTTGACCTCGACCATGACAACATCCTCAAGTTCAGGGAACTTGTTCTTGTAGAAGCGGCAGCGCTTTGGAGGCATGACTGGTGATGTAAGGGGAGAAGAAGGAAGTGGTTCCCAATCGAAGACGCAGAGAGTCGAGCGAGTCGAGCGAGGTGCGTTGGTGAATGCGGCTGGCTGCGGCTGGCTGGTTGCTGGTTCTGAAGTCAAAGGCACAAGGCAAAAAAGGCACACTTCACGTGTGAACGGAGGATTGTTGGGAGATTTCAACGAATCCTCTACACTGCCTGGGCGGTTACGGCGGCGGCGATGATGGTGAGCGAGCAGCAGACACAACACACAGCTGACTGTCCTTCCCCATTGTGTTTGTGTTTCTGCGTGTTTGTGTTTCTGCGTGCGTGCGTGCGTGTGTGTTTGCTGCGTGCGTGCGTGCGTGTGTGTTTGTGGTTGTGGCGCGCTGTCTGAGGCATGTGGACATGATGTGTGCGGGTGTGGTGCGCTGTGTAAGGCATGTGTACATGGGATCGATGGCATCTTCGTCTCATGTACACTTCCATCACCTTGTGTTGTAGGAGGGCGAATTGAACATTGTGGAGTACATTGACAGGCTCAGCCTGCCCCATATCGACAATGAGCTGCACGCGGAGTCCTTGCTGGAGGCCTTTGAAGAGCACATTGAGCTCCTGTGGAAGCAACACGAGGAAGTATGTGCGTGTGTGCGTGTGGGTGTGTACGCGTGCTTGTGTCTGTGCAAACTGCGCTCATTGCGTGCTTGTGTGCGTGTGTGTGTGTGTGTGTGTGTGTGTGTGTGTGTGTGTGTGTGTGTGCGTGTGTGTGTGAATTGCGAGGGGGATTCCCACAGCCGTGACGGGTATTTGCTACATGCAGTCACTTGCCACCCCCTGTATCATGCACCAGCGCCCACTCACCCATCACCAATGTGCACACTCCACCAGGCGAAGAATGAGGTGAACCGGTTGGAGCTCGTGAGCAGATCTGGGGAGGATCGACACGTCACCACGCTGCAGCGGGCTGCAGACGAAATTGAGGTCAGCTATCCACCAAACACATGGCCACCGCACAACTCACCTTCAAGCACTCGTCCGCAGCTTGCCTGACTTTGAGAGTGATATACCCCATTGCAGCTCATCACCGTTTCTGCCGCTGTTGTACATTGCCGGTTTTGCTGGTGGTCAGGATGGAATGGACAGCTTGCAGAGCCTGGGGACCAACATTGCCGCCGTTGCTGTGAAAGTACGTCTGTGGTCAGCTCAACCATCACGCTCCTTTGCACAGCACTGCGATGATGAGGATGATCCATGCAAAGGATATCATACATCTCTGTTCAACCTCACATGATCCCTTTTTTCTCACCACCCTTGTGTTTTACACACACACACACACACACACACACACACACACACACACACACACACACACACACACACACACACACACACACACACACACACACACACGCACACACGCACACACGCACACACACACACACACACACACACACACACACGCACACGTACGCGTGCAGCTTGTGCATGTTGGCGACCAGCTTGAAGGGGCAAAGGGGCGGCGGGATCGGGCTGTGGACGCATCCACACTCATCCGACACTTTAGCGCTTTCGATGACTTTGACTCCCGTCTCTTACCGCCGTTTGACAAGCTCGAACACGTACGTCACACGCATACACATGTGCAGAGATGAAGAGAAAGGGCACATAGAACAATGGGCTGTAGTCCTCGGGTCCTTGCTGTGTATGCTTGCTCAGTGCACGGCTGCCCACAGCCATGGTGCACGGAGTCGTGCTGTCATCTCCCCAATGGTATCTCTTCTAACCCGTTCCTTCCACCACCACCACCTCCTCGTCCTCGTCCTCCTCCTCCTGGCTTATCTCTCCTTTGCCCACTCCTGCTTGCCTTCCATCCGCCCCCTCTACCCCTTCACCACCGCCACAACAACCCCTCTGCCTACAGCGTGCAGACCTTGATGACCGCGACCTTGCGCGCGGCGTCGACAGAACGCGGCGGCCACAGGACGAGCACCTCTCTGACGATGAGCTCGGGGTTGCCGCTGCCCTCATGGTCAAGATGAAGCACCTTGCTGCTGAGCTCAACCCACAGGCCTGCACCACCGCCCGCCAGCGCATTGCGTTTGTCAACCAGGAGCTCGAGGAGTAGGTTACCGCCAAGTGCGGGGTGTTGTGGCACGTCTTTGTTGTACTGTCGTGCATATGGGTGAAGTTGTGACGATGGTGATGGTGGTGGTGATGATGATGGTGGTGGTGGTGGATGCAGTGCATTGTGTGGCGCGATGCAGGTCCTGGATGTGATGAAGCCATTGCAGCAGCGCGTGCATTTGTTGGGCCAGCTTTCTATTTGTCCTTTGCCCTCATGCGCTAAATGCGCGCGAATGCTTGCAGGCAATGCGTTGCGGAGTTTCGCCGCTCGCTCGTGCTGGACAAAGTCGATCGCATGAAATTCATGGCCCGCACCCTGCAGAGCCTGAGCCCAAAGGTGTGCTGTACTGTATTGTGGTGTGGTGCATTGTGTGTGGTGTGCTGTACTGAATTGGCGTGTGCTGCATTGTGTTAGCGTGTGCTGTGTCGTGGTGAGCATAATATAGGCTGCGTGCATGTGTCGCGTTGTGTCGTGTTGGGCAATGAAAGTGTCCCCCCAGCAGTTCATAGCCTTGTTCACATTGACATGTGCTGGGCTGGGTTCTGCTCGATTCAGAAACATGCCAAGGTGATGGATGTGATGATTGACCACATCATGACCGGGTTTCATGGTCTGGACGCGAATGTGTTTGAGGCAGCCATCCAGCTCTGCAAGCAGGTGAGTCAGTCAACACGAAGGCATGTGTCCTGCCGCTTTTTCATCCCTCACTCACCCAAAAAGCATGGACCCCCACCATTGCTTAGCCAATGCACCAGCCCTCCAGCTAACCAACCAACCAACCAACATCACCCAACCAACCCTGCCGCTGGATCAGGCTGCCTCGTTGACGTCGCGTGTGTTTGACGATCCCAGCACGGTTCTGCATCTCTTTGTCCATAAAGTCTTTCATCGCGTCATCGAGGTCAGCAGCCACACCCCCTTGCCCGTGTACATTGCGACAGGGACATTGTGTTCATGTTGTATTGGTGCTTGTGCGTTGGTTGTGTTGCAAACTTTTGTGTTTTGTGTGTGTGTGTGTTGTGTGTGTGTGTGTGTGTGTATGCATGACGTTGTGTCATGGACGCACATGTGAATCCCGAGCTTACCTTGTTGGCGCTGCACACCTCGTGTGTTTCTGCAGGCGCACGTGAGCAAAGAAATGAACCGAGCCGGCGACAAGATGCAGTGCCTGTACAACCTCTTTCTCAGGTTCGTTTGCGACTCTGAAATGCACCTCGTCCACACCAGCATCTCCTGCACGACAATGATTTGTTCATTCAGCCGCCATCGCCTCGGCGTTTGCCCCGTCCTTCAGCATCATCAGCACAATACTAGTTGCCACTTTACATTCAGACTCACTTACTCACCCACTCACTTACTCACCCACTCACTCACTCACCCACTCACCCACTCACTCACCCACCACCATCACCATCGTCGTCGTCAGGGTTGGCGAGACTGCTGCTGAGCTGGACGAGGAGCTTGAGATGCACATGGATGCCGCCATGAAGAACGATCTCTGTCGCAGCGTCTTCAACTCATATCTCCCAGACTACCTCGAGTGCGTTGCTGTATCCTCCCCTTTGCTGGGTGCTGTGTGTGTGTGTGTGTGTTGTATGTGTTTTGTGTACGTGCATGTGGTTGCTTGTGTTGTGCTGTGTTGTGTGTACACGTGCGTGTGCATGTGCATGTGTACGTGTGTGTGTGTGTTGTTGAGTTGTGCATGGTGTTCATAAGCTGACGCTGCTTCCCCTGTGTGCGTGCGTGTGCAGCTCCGAGTTGGATTTGCTTCGCGACGCGTACACATCTGCGCTCTCATCGTTCTACAACGAAATCAGCCACGAGCGCATCAGGTTCGCACACACATACGCACACACACACACAATTGCATGTGCACACATGTGTGAGGATCAGCCTTGTCGGCTCATGCAAGTCCTCAACCACCACCACCACCACCACCATCATCAACCACCACCACCACCACCACCACCACCACCACCACCACCATCATCAGCCACCACCACCACCACCACCACCGCTCCCACCACCATCATCATCAACCACCACCACCACGATCACAACACGTTATCATCACCTCATCAATTGTCACCACCACCACCACGATCACAACACGTTATCATCACCTCATCAATCGTCACCACCACCACCACCACCACCACCGCTCCCTGCTGCAGCAAAGGGACGTCGCCAAAGCTCGGCCGGCGACTGGTGCGCGGTAGCGGTGATGACGAGACGCCACGCGGTGATCTGGTCGATGACACTCTCGCCATTGGCATGATCCACGACAACCAGGTCGCCCTGCACCGCTGCGCTGTTGTTGCGCCGAAGACGAAGGTTGCAGAGTGGTGCTTCCGCATCTTTGTGGAGCTGCTTGACGGTCTGTGCAAGGAGCACCTTGGGTATGCCCTCTGGTACGGCATCAAGACACTCCCGCCACGCAAGGTGTGCACGCTTCGGGACTTGTGTTGTGGTGTGCTGTGGTGTCTTTGTGTGCGTGTGCGTGTATGTTTGTATAGCTTGCGTGTGTGAGTGTGGTGCGTGTTGTGTATGTGTGTGCGTGTGAATCCTGTTGAAACCGCACCCCCCTCATCATCCATGGGCACAATTGCATGTTGTGCTGCAGCCCAAGTCTGAGCCGTCGCTCGTGTTTCTCCAGACGATGCATGACGTCAACAGCACCGTCTTCCTCGTGCAGGTGAGCACTCGCGTCGTGGTGGTGGTGGCAGCAGTGTTGGTGGTGGTCGTCGTCGTTTACAGGGAGTGTTGGTATGATATCAATACGCGCACTTTGCACCTGCACACACACGCACGCACGCACGCACACACACACACACACACACACACACACACACACGCACACACACACACACACGCAAACTTGTTTGGCAGAAACACTACCAGAGCAACGTTGCGCCGCTCGTGGCGAGCAACCCGGATGTGCTGCAGGCGTGTGTGTCGCGCAAGAATGCGGTCATGACGCGGCTGGAGGAGGACATTGGGACCGGTCTGGCACGATGCATGGGGGCAGTCACAGAGTGGACGAAGCACTGCCTCGCACAACAGGACAAACACGACTTCAAGCCAGAGGACCCAGCCGTGCTTGCCCTGTCCTGTACAAAGGTGACGTGCTGGTGTTGTGAAGTGTGTATGTGGACGTATGTGTCCAGAGAGAGAGGGTGTGTGTGTGTGTGTGTGTGTGTGTGTGTGTGTGTGTGTGTGAGTGTGTTGTATGTGCTGGCGTGCGTTCACTGGTTTGCACGTCGCCATCCTGTCCACCTGCAAAGATTTGTCACACACACAAACACACACACACACACACACAGACACGCACACACCCAATACACACACCTAATACACACATACGATGCAT